AACCGCTGACCTTAAGGTTCGCAGCCCGATTCATAACCACTACTCTACCAGAGATATATATGATATATATATATATATATATATTCTGGAAGCTATGCCACTGATATTTTAAATACTAGTAGGGTCAAACCTAGTGTCCAGATGTGGTGCCCTGCAAGTTAATGTGCTGAACTGCAAGGTCAGTTTGAACCACAAGGCTGGCTGTTCATGTTCGCAAGCCCCTCCTCAGCAATCCTATACAGGGTCACTATGACTCTGAACCGACTCCACAGCACTTAACAACAACAACAACAGCTTTGATTCTGGAAGCTATGCCACCAGTATTTTAAATACCAACAGGTATACCCATGGTGGACAGGTTTCAGATAAGCTTCCAGATGAAGACAGATTAGGAAGAAGGAGAGACAGACTAATTCCTAATATTTAGTCATTGAGAACCTTATGAATAGCAGTGAAACAGTGTCAGCACTAGAATATTGAATATTGAAACATAATGAAAAGCACCAGAATATTGTCAGATATAGTGCCGGAAGATGAGGACCTCAGGTTGGAAGGCACTCAGATTTTGACTGGGAAAGAGCTGCCTCCTCAAAGTAGAGTTGACCATGATGATGTGAATGGAGTAAAGCCTTCAGGATCTTCATTTGATGATGTGGCACAGCTCAAAATGATGAGAAATAACTGTAAGCATCCATTAATGATCAGAACATGTAATTTATGAAGTATCAATCTAGAAAAATTGGAAATTGTCAAAAATAAACATTGATATCCTTGACATTAGTGAGCTTAAATGGAATGGTATTGGCCATTTTGAATCTGACAATCACATGGTTTACTGTGCTGGGAATGACAAATTGAAGAGGAATGCCATTACATTCATCATTGTCAAAGAACATATCAGATCTATCTTGAAGTACAACATTGTCTGTGATAGGATAATATCCATCTCCCTACAAGGAAGACTAGTTAATACCATTATTATTCAAATTTATACACCAACTACTAAAGTCTGTGATAATAAAATGAAGACGTCTACTAACTTCTTCAGCCTGAAATTGATCAAACATGCAATCAAGATGTAGTGATAATTAGAGGGTGGAGCTTGATGGCAGATAGGGTAGAGGTGCAGTGAAGTTCGTCCTCAGCAATACCACAGAATACTGGGCAAAGTGGGTTCAGAGCAGAGCTCCAAAACTCTGAACCACATAGGTAGTGATATTTACAAAGTTTGAAGGCTTATAGTTAGTGGAACTTGTAGTGGAAGTAAGAAACCGCATACTTTTGAATCTTCCAGGCTCGGTGGCCCAGATGTGACAACTTTTGCAATGGCAATGGCAAGACCAAGTGGGGGAGCAGACCTACCACAAAATAATGCCACAGGAACCTCAGAGCAAAGGTGAACAATACACTTTGTTGTTTTTTTTTCCTTAGTTCTGATTTTCTTTTCTTTTCTTTTTTTTGGTATCTGTTCATTGGCCACCCACTGTTTGTGCACTTCTATTCTGGTGACTAGAGAGGGTGCCTGAGCGAGTGGACACTCCCCACCCCCTTCACTGGTGGGTTCTTCTGCCACACATGAGCACAGATACTCTCAGCCCAAGAGCCAGCCCTGAACTGTTTTTAATAGTGAAAAGGCCAGAACAAGGAGTGTGGAGAGGGGAAGAGAGTTTAAAAACAAAACAGGCCAAAAATGAAATTAAATCCTGAGGTATAACATAACAACCAACAGTGGTATCTTGAAATTTGTCTGACGACCTTGAAGACATTAAAGTTATACTCATATTAGGCTACAGATTTATTTATTTTTTTCTTCTCTCCCTCCTCTCCCTTTTCTGCGATTATAGACTACAGTACCCAATCTAGTTTTTCTGTTGTTGTTGTTTTGGTCATGTTTTTTGTTTGTTTGTTTTGTTTTGTTTTTGCTGTTGCTGCTTTATGCTCCTCCTTTTACCTTTGGGGGGCTCTTTCTCTTCCTATATTACCCAAGAAGAGATAGCAGCTGTTGTCATATAGTCAAGCTACAATCACACTCTATAAAACACCAAAACTCAAGCAAGAACCAATATCAACTGCCATACACCATGGAGGCAGACAACAACTGTGAAAGTTACCCTGACTTAAGAAATAAGAAGGGTGAAAAGGGAAGCCCATATCCTGATTACATCTACCAAGAGGCAATCAGAAAGCATAAAAATACCAAAACACATACTCAATTAAGTATTAAGGCCACAGATAAACACTAAACATGTCCAAGAAGCAAAAGCAGATGACCATATCAGCACATGTCCAGAAACAAGATAAAATGTCTGAGACAAATTATCTAGAGGTAGATCTGGACTCCATTCTAGAAGAAGGGCAGGCCTTGGAAATGCCTGAGAAGGAATTCAGGAAAATGATTATAAAATGTTAAAAAAAAAATGAAGTTGTAAAAATAAGAAAGAAGTCAGGAAAGCACTACAGGAACATTCATATAAGATAGATGCAGCATTGGAAACAATTCAAAACCCACAGAAAGAGGTCCTAACAATCAATAATAGAATATCAGAAATAGATAATACACTGAAAGGGCAAAGGAATGGATTAGAAGAGATGGAAGGCAGAACTAGTAATCTGGAAGACAAACCTCTCAATACCACTAACATAGTAGAGCAAACAGAAAAAAAAAAATAATTAAAAAAGCTGAAGATGGTCTAAGATTCCTGTTGGACAACATGAAGTAGAATAACTAAGAACACTATCCATACTAAAATTGGGGGGAGGATTCTTTGCTGGTTACCGGGATATGGGAGATGGGGTGAAGGGAGGGAGGGGAATGTGGAACACAGGGTGGGAAATAGACACATGATAGTTTGGGTGCTAGGGAGGGGAGTGGAAGAACAAGGCAGATGGGAAAACAATTAGGCAGGTTTGCATGGGCTAAGTGAGACAGAGGTAAATGATGATCTATGTACAACCTTGGAACAACAGGGCTCTGGGATACAGGGATTGAAATATGGTTGGAATGGGCAAGAGGGAGGAAATAATGTTAAAATGCTTGGCTGTCTTTTGAATCTTGGTTTCCCTGGCATACCATTATAAAATAGATACTTGAGGGGAGAGAAAGAAATAGCCAGAAATATCACCATAGAAAGCTTGTAAGTCGTCTTCTGTCTATAACTGATTGGAATACCTAAAATGGGGCTACAACGTGCCCAGTGAAGGAAGCTTCTTGTGGAGCCTCTGTAACACATAAGACTATAGGTGGAATCCTGACCCCATCCAGAATCTTCTGAGTTGGGAAATTTCCACTTGAAAGGACAAGTAGACCAGCCTGGAGCGGCTAGAACAGAAGATACTTCTTGAAAAAAAAGACCAACAGGAAAAATGCAAAACAGTAGTGGAAGTCCAACTGATTACTACAAGAACAAGCAGCTTGCTTGCCCAGGAGACATCAAGGCAAGTGGTCGGGTCTCCTCAGGGCAAACCTCCTTCTAAGACTAAAACTCAATGGGAATACACAAGCAGACATGCCCGCTAATTGGTGACCATGTCCATCACCGGTAAGGGGAAGTGAGGGAAAAACAGCAAGGTAAGCCCTACAACATTCAATGGACTCCTGTGAACCCAGTTGGAGACCTGGTTGGCCAGCAGTGTGCAAGACCTGGAGACTCATGGGCCTAGAGTCAGTGATACAGTCACAGAGGACTAGAGCGGAGAGAGAAGCGTCCAGCTGATAAGCAGAGAGGGCATATGCATAAGAACAACCACACTTGTAGATAATA